ATATGTTAAATTATTATGATTGAAATCGATTTTTGAATTGTAAAAGATTTTTATAAATTTTCTTACTTCTAACTTGAACAATATTTTTATTTATTAATCTTTTTTTTGAACATTTTAATAAAGCTTATTGATTTTATTTCAAACTAATTTTCAAATTAACTTTCTATAATGTATTATTACTATTATTATATTAATAAATTAATTTAAACTTAATTTGTAAGTATAATATAGAAAATGTTAATTTTAATAATTAATATATAATAGTTTTTTCCTTTAATAAAAATCTTTTATTATAAATACTTGAAAAGAGAATCTCCTTAAATAATGAAATAGAAGAACGATACCCAAGATATGGATTATATGCATATGGAGAAGGTTTTGTTACTGAAAAACTTAGAAGAATGTACTTCTCAGGAATACCTGTACTTTTTATACCTGGCAATCTTGGATCTCATGAGCAAGGTTCTTAGAATCTGTTATTAGAAGGTATTTTAATTTGATTTGAATCTGTTATTAATAATTATATTATTTTTAGTAAGATCTCTTGCTTCTGTCAGTTTGAGAAAAAGTTTAAAAGATAGGACTCCATTTCATTTTGATTATTTTACTGTTTCAATAGGCAAGGATTATTCTGCTTTATATGGAGGTATGAATAAAAAGAATATATGATATAATTATATATATATTCTATTGTATATTCTATATACATTATAATTCTATTATATATAAAATAATAATTTTATTAATCATTTTACTCATCATTTATCATTTATTTTTTTTTTATTTTTTTCATGTATTTTTTAAATAATTCATATATAATTTATTATTAGTCAACCTGTTAATTAAATAATAAAAAATACAAAGTTTTTTTTTTAGTAATCGTAGTAAGCTTAAAATATATTGTTAAAGGCATTTTCAAATATTAGCATTTTTAGCATTTTTCCTTTACACTTAATGATATATATAATAATTGAAATAATTTATTTTAATTCTTAAGTTATTTATAAAAAATTTTAATACTATATATTATTATTATAATAGAAGAAATTATTTAAAATGTTATCTTTATAACATATTTCAAATTCATTAAAATCAATAAAGAAAGAGTTAATCAGCAGGTTGACTTTTAAATAATTAAAAAGAATAAATGATAATTTATTATAATTAATTCAAGGTGTATTGATTGAAGAAACAATGTATGTTTCATATTGTATACAAAAAATATTAAGTTTATATAAATCTAAAATAGATAACATTGTGCTTATAGGACATTCAATGGTAAATACATTTAGTATTATTATATTTATTTCAATAAGGATATTATATTATTTCTTTATTTTTAGGGAGGTATTATAGCTAAAGGTTCTGTTTTGATGACTCCAAATATAAATGCTAGTGTTGCAAGCATTATTATTACTTTAGCTACTCCTCATACACCTACATTAGCGTTAGATTATACTTTTGTTAATTATTATAAAAATTTAGAAAAACGCTTAAATGATATAAAAGATGCAGGAATAAATGTGATATCAATAGGAGGTGGACCACGAGATACACTCATAACATCAACACAAATTTTAGATCCTACAGCAGATATTAATGTTATTTCTAATGCTATACCAGATGTTTGGAAATCTGTGGATCATCTTAGTATTTTATGGTGTAAACAATTAGTATTATCTATTGTGCATTCATTATTTGATTCTGTTAATTATGCTCAAAAACCACCTAAAATATTTTCCACACCTAACGAAAGAATGCAAGCATTATCATATCATTTTTATCATGTAAGAAAGTTTTTTAAAGTTATCTTCATCTATAAAGTATTTAAACTATAAAAATTAATTTTACAGCGTACTTCTGGAAAAAGATTATATTTTTATAAAGAAATAATACAATTTGAAACTGATGGTGAATGGATAGAGAATATTCAAAGGCATTATACATGGACTAATAAAAACTCATTTAAGAAAACATCTTCTATTTATCTTATGATTAGATTAAGTGGACAACCTGATTATTTAACTATTGATACTAAAAATTTAGAATCTAAAGATTGGTTATTTGCATGTACAGCATCTAATATACAAGGACAATCAAGAACTTGGTAATTATTGCTTTTAATTAAAAATTATAAATTTATTAAAATATTATTATAAAAAAAATATTCTATATTTAATTTAGCAATTGGGGTTGGAACTTGACAAATAGAACAAGAATTTTATCAGATCCTTTACACCATATAAGAAAAACTGTTGATTTAAATTTGCAAGAGTTAAAATATCCTGGTATAACACATATTATAATAAGAATTACACCAGATAATTTAGAAAAATATGTTACAATAAATGTAGATTTATATTCTTATGATACAAGATTTATATTTATTAAGAATAATCTATCTTTATTGAAAAATTTATTTATTTTACCTCAAATAAAAAAATCTCATCCTGGACATATTAGATATTATGCTAGTTTTGATAATTTTGTAAACGTTATTGCTGTTGAACTTAAAGCATCTGGATGTATGGATCCAAAACATGCAATTGTTGAATTAATAGAACCATGGAGTATTGGAGTTACACAAATTCAATTTTTTACAGTTATGTGAGTATAAACTCTAAATAAACTATAAATTTTTTTTTTTTAAATTATTGAATTATTAAAATTTAATATTTTAGAGATAATGGACCAAAAATAATGAAAATTCAAACTAAAAATAAGTATTCTAATATTTCTCCAAATTTAAGAATAACTCTAGATCCTGCATGTTCATATGTAATTAATATTCAAAAAGGTGGAATTATAGATCAAATATCTTGTATTGTAAGAGATCGCTGGTATTTATTGTATACAACAATTATTAGTTTACTTTTATTATTTTTATCTACAAGAATCAATCATGGCCATAATCAAACTCCAATAATAATAATTACGATATTTCTGTCGTTTTGTTATAATTTAATGTTTGAATGTTTAATTGCTTTGGCAATTATTTGTGTATTTACTATTGGACTCTGCTGTTGCATTATATTTTTTGGCTCAGTAGCTCATAATATTGCTGTGAGGTAAAAAATTATAATTATATTGATATATATATTTATATTATAGAAAATTGTTTATGTTATTCAATTTATCAATTTTTTTTAGGTTTCTAGCACGTGTAATAACTTTTTCAACAACATGGTCAGATTGGCTGCTTGGAGGATTAAATCAATTACCATTTATTACTACAATTCTTGTTTTATCTTTAATTCCAGCAACGTGTGGAGCTTTAGCTATGTTAATTTCCATTTTTCTTTATTTTTTAAATTTGACGAAAATGTATGAAGATTATTTAGAAGAACTTTTAATGGCTTCATTACAACATTTTAATTGGATAAGACAATTTAGAAGTGCAAAAGATAATTCTGAAGATACAAGACAAAAAATATTCAATCATCTTATTTTTTTTATACTTTGGTGCTTTACTGCTATTCCAGCTGTACCATCTGTACTTGTTTGGGCAAAAAATTTCAGGTTTGTAATTAATTATTTAAAAAATATAAAATATGAGTATTCAGTATTAAAATTATTATTATAAATTTGTTTTAGTTACAATATGAAACTTTCTTCGGAAGATTCTTTATTACTTCAAAGCTGGATAATTTTAGTAACATGCAGTACAATGGGATGGGTGCAACTTCCTTCTAATAATCATAAAAATCGATCTCAAATATTATCCAGTATATTATGTTTTCTAGGTTGGGTAGTACTTTTAATGGGAGCAGCACCTCATCCACCTTTTTATCAATATTGTATACCACCTATTGTAGCAGGAACTATTAGTATTATTGCATTAAATTTCATTTTTTCTTAAAATATTATTTATTTAAAATAATACTTTAATCTAATCTTCCTGTCTACATCAGTTTCATGTACATCTAAATTGTATATATTGTATTTGTATAAAAATATTTATATTTAGAATGTGTATAATAATATAATAGTTATATTGAAATTTATTCCATTAAACTTTTAGCTCTTTCGCACTTTACGTGAACAAATTGTGTTGTCTTACAATCCTTACTATTGTTTTTTTGTTTTTATATCTTTAGAAGAAAAAGTGCTTATAAAAAATGTGCAAAAAATCTTTATCTCTTAAACTGCATATATTATGATATAATATTCAGGCCTCAAATATAAAAAATATAATAAATTGATAAAAATTTTTGACATTTTATTTCAATGTTCAGAAAATAATATTACATATTATTATAACTGAAATATTTTACGCTTAATACATATAAATACAAACTTAAAATTATCTGAGATTAACAACTACAAGTCAAATTTGTAACAATTCATTTTGATTATAATCATTTACTACAAATCTGACTTGAAGTTTAGATTGAATGGATTATAATATATAATATATATAATTATATTATTAATTTATAATAATATATATAATTATATGAAATAATTTGTATTATTATAAATAAAATACCTATATACACATTACAAATTAATATTTTTTATTTAATTTATAAATAATTGGGAAATATTAAAATATTTTATACAGCAAACAATAAATTTATTGTTTATCGGAAAAAGATATACAGTTTTAACATTTTTATATGACCTATTTAACATCACATTTATTGTATTATTTTTATTGTATTATTGCTATTTTTAATATTTTATGTCTGTCTTAAATTCATTAACTAAAAAAATTTTTTTTATTCTTATTTTTAATTTTAGTTAATTTTATTTAATTAATCAACAATTGTTTAAATAACAAACTAAATTACATCAAATTGATAGAAAAAATCGAATTCAACTTTATATAGATATATGATCTATTTACTGTTTACAAGATAATGATATACACATTTATGTAAATTAATGGGACCCAAAAATAATCATGATATATGTAATTATCATAGAAATATGGCAGTAACCTAATTTTACAAATTAATAATATAATGCCCACTCATTTTCTTGTAGAAATGTATCAACTACTTCCTTCATTGCTAAATTAGGGATTAATTGATCCTGAGTTAAACGAACTCTAGTAACTGGATCAAAGTGTCCCACCCTCTGTAAATGTTCTTCAATGTCTTTTCGTTCATATGTAATTCCACTTGGCGTTATTACAGGTTCTTGTAAAATTTCAAAACTAATTTTTCCACATAAATAATCAGGTACTTCTCTTTTCTATTCCACATATTCATAAAAATTGCAGATAATACATAATTACTTTTTTTCATATGCAATTAAAAACTTCAAAAATAATCAAGAATATAAACTCACCCTTCTTCTTTCATCCACTTTTGCAAATAAATCATTAAGGTGAGCCATACATGTATCTCTTTTTTCTTCTATCTCTTCTTTTTTCCTTGTAAATTCAATAGATGAGGCTTCTCCTTCACTTTTACTATCTACATCTTTAATTGCTTCTTGTTCCTTTAAAGCAGCTAAACTTCGTTCAGCATCTTCTACTATCAATTGATTCAGATATGATTGTAATTCAATATCTTGAGCAATTCTCTGTTCTTCTCTCAATTGGAAACAACGTTTTCGTGCTTGCCTTAAAATGCTGGTCATATCATCTCCATAATTTAACTTTTGTTCCTTGGCCAAATCCACAGCTACATTATCGTTGAGATGTGTAATCATGAGAATGGCAAATTTCACATTGCCATAAAAACCATGAATACCATAAAAAAAAATATTCACAAGATACTTCCATATTTCACAATGATATATATAATATATAATAAAATATTATAGATATTATATCTAAATATATATATCAAGGCAAGATAATCTAATCTTTAAATGCTGTCATAGATGAAATTTTATTCTAAACAAAAGTTGTTTTCATATAACTTTTCAATGATAGCTTTTAAAGATTAAGATAATATACAAAAAAAGATATGGCATATAAAAAAATTATATTAATAAACAAATAATGTTTTTTATTAAAAAATATTTTGCAAAATGCAATTTAAAAATATAATATTTATTTTGATTATATATATGAAATAAGTAAAATGATTTTATAATGAAATGATAAAATAAAAAATTTAATCATTAATATTAAATATATTTAAGATAGAAAAAAATATTAATATATAATATAATATAATATAATATAATATAATTTATAATTATTTTATAAAAATTATGATGAAATATTTTCCTATAAATAAATTTTTATAAGAAGCATATTATAATAAGAAGCCAATGAAATTTCAAAACAAAAATATAACGACATACCTCTTTGTAAATGTTTCACAGCTTCATCGAAGAGTTCCATTTCAAGAAGAGCTAGACCCAAGAAAAAATGACCCTTCACCAGACATGGATCGATATCGAGAGCACGTCTGCAGTCTAGACAGGATGATTCCCATCGTTTCAATTTCAGGTTACACAGCGCTCGGTTCGTAAAATATAGTGCTTGGGTTGGATTTTTAATCTGCAGGAATGAGATGCAATGTCGTAACTTGCCTGCATAGATTCATAGTAGCACTCACAATTGCTTTGGTGTAGCAGTGTGCAGCATCCTCATATTTGTGAAGATTGAAAAGTCGATTTCCTTCTTCTTTTAACTCTTTGTCAGAGAGGTTGGCGGTTGTATACATTTTACTCATCTTGGCAACAAATGTTGTGCCGTATTAAACACTTTTCTACATATGAAGTCTCGTTGGATTATTTACTAATATTTCTTATAAGAAAAAATAGTCGAATTGTAAACAAATCGACTAACAAAATAATATTGTATAACCTTAACCTTAATGACATATACGTTCTTCCATTTTCCTTGTGAGTTTGTCAGTCATTAACTAAAATGTGATAAAGAAGTACATAGTAAATAAAACTAGGAGGAAGTTATTTTTCAATATAAAGTCTGATTTTCAAAAAATATTCAATATAAAAATATTTTAATATTTCTTTATTTCTAAATATTGTAACATTTTTTAAAAATATTTTTGTATAATACTTTATTTATTTATAATACTCTATAATACTTTATTTATTTATTTATTTTTATTTTCAAATTTATAGAGATTTTCATCTTATTTTTAATCATAATTTTGGTAAATTATAATTATCAATATAAAAAAAACAGATTGATAAAAAAAAATAACTTTAAAATAATTGTTCATTTTAGAAATTAAAATTATATAAAAATAATGAAATATATAAATATTGTCATTTTTTGATTGGAATATTTTTATTGTGATGTAAAAAATTTTATTACATCTATTATTTTAATTGTTAGTCTTTTTTTAATTTTAGTTTTTTTTAATTTAAAATTATAAAAATACAAGTATGTGTTTTTATTTATAAAATAAATTCATAGTTTGAAGTGTTATGCATTTGATATAATAATATAATATTTATATAATCAACTCATATATAATTAATTAATAAAAAAAAAATAATAAATAAATTTATTAAAAAATAATTTTATTTTTGTTTATTTTTTAAAATAATTATTTTCTACTTCAAACTATAAAATTAATTATATATTTTAATTATTTTACATACTGCTATATATTATTAATCTTAGATATACTATATATACAAATAGGTTTGTTTGTTATAGGGTGTCTATTGTATTCAGCAACAATTCCTATTTTATGTTTAAAAAATTCTAACATTTTTTTTGCAATCAATCTATTATTTTCA